AGCCACCTAAATCAATAGTTAAATTGCATGTAGAACTGCTTTTTTGAGCGTTTTGCGACGCTTTTTAACATTCGACAGCCTTTCTACAGGTGGTATGCAGCGTCTAAATCTTGTATTATGCAACTGAATGTCTTCGTGAATGATCTCTAGTAGCTCATTGTACTTTCCAAATGACACACGGAACTACTGAAAAAATCGTTGTTCGTCCAATAACAATTTTTTTAATAAAGTTTGAAATTCACCCCCTACTTTTACAACATTTTCTTAACTATTAAAACAATATTTTCAAATATTTTCAAATAATGCTTTCCTAATAAATTAGATGCTTAATAAACAGTAAAATTTTGATTCAATGAAATAGGAAATATACACACAGGATTAGTTATCGATATGAAAATGAAAATCCACATATTTCAGTTACCTACTCTGTTATAAAAACTATTGAAAAAAACAGATAATACCCAACGATTTCCTAATAATATTTAAAGATTAAAATAACGAACATTCAAATGAAAACGAAGTCAAGTTGACACTGTCCTCTATTGGCCCTATCAATTTTTTTTTTGATTAAGCAAAATGGGTTGTTCACCACCTAAAAAGAGATTTTAACTAAAACCCCGAAACAGGTCAATTTAATTTTGTCAATTTGTTTACATAAATCATATTTTTAATTATTTTTAAATATTTAGAAAAAACTGTTTTTGGGAGCGAACTTTGAGAGTGTATTTCACCCCCTAAATATGTTTTTCCGCTGATAAAAACACCTCTTTAATAGAACTCATTTTCGCTACTAAAATACTGCAACTATTTAAAGGAGAGCGCGATTGTGTGCAATTGTCAAAAGCGACTGATTTTGTAATAAAAGACCGCGATCAGCTCAACCTTTAATATTCAGCTACCGGGTTTGTAAATTATAATTTTTTCTAATGCATGTCAAATAACGTAGATATTTCTACAATGTAAAATAAATTTGAACTGACCACGTCCCAAGGGCTTTCAGGACAAGCGGACTAGTTCCTTTCAAGGATATTAACTTTGAGATCTGAGTGGTAGGTATCAAATTGGTCTAACAGATAATTTGTAGGTTATAAATTAGTTGTACACCTGGATCTACTTTATCTACGTATGTATGTAATATTGAACAATTTCAACAATAATTTTATTTAACTCGAAATGGAAATTTAATATGGGAACTGGCCCACCCTGTACAGGTAAATTTCGCTTAAAAATTACAATTAAAAGCTAATTAAAAAACAATTATTCTTGACAAATGGTATCAGTCAGCTATGGAGGTCGTGGTCAAGTATGCAACGAGAAGTGCTGGTAAAATTGGCGTATAGGATATGCCTACATCTGACAACTCGGTACATTCTAATTTATACGCGATACGCGATTAATTATAAAATATTGGTGCATGTCGGGGACATTCAACTCTGCATGGCACCGTCCTCGAAACGTTTCATTTACCTTTTATTACAGTAAATCACTGAAAACACTGGCATACATGCCGCTTACATACATCAACGTTAATTTTTGTCGTAGTTTACTTCAAGAAATTCTGGGTTATTGGTTGCGCAGATACTTTAATTTATCAGAGGATTAAACACGAAATTCCTCGGATGATTTATTTTATTTGTGATTAATATATGATATTTTACAACATGTTTGCAAATCACTTTAGAAATTACAATTACAAATACTGTGTAACCCAAATACACTGAACAATTCCGAATATGCTTATTTAATTTTATTTTTAAATTTTAACATGACAGCTCTATAAAAATTTTCTGCGACATATGAAATCTGATATTAATAAGTAATAACAATGACGTAGATTAACTAAAGAATCTTGATGAACGAAATCTTACACCTGTGTCCCAAAATTCATATTTTTTTCCTGTTGAAATTTAAAAAAATCGCCGAAACAGGTCAATTAGTATATAGAAATAGTCACTTTTCTGCAATATTTTCAATTTTTTTGAGCCATGTTTTACAGACCTATAACAGTACCGACATTTTTTTAATAGAATGCTCTATATCCTAAAGTTTGTTTGAAAAAGCGCCCTTATTATATGGGCATTAAGTTAATAAACATCTTGCCAGTTGATATTAAACAAGAAAGCAATTTTAACTCATTCAAAGTCAGAGTAAAAAGATATCTTTTAAACAAACGTTTTTATAGTGTATCAGAAACGACAGATCAATAAATTAAAAATTTTTATCTTCACTGTTATTTTTTACCCATGTTTTATATCCTGTTAGTTACGCTGTTTTTATTTTTGTTTTCCGTTTATTTAATTTATACCTATTTATGTATACCTCATTATGTTTGGCTAAGATAGATCTAATGGATGAATGAAGGATGAAATATTGCAGAAAAATTACAATTTTTATTTATTAATTGACCTGTTACGGCGATTTTTTTAAATTTGAATTGAAAAAAATATATGAATTCTGTTTCATTATTTTGGGACACAGGGTAATCCTACACAATTTTTATTCGTTGTTGTCTGTGGGTAATTATTACTAGTCAAAATTATCCATATACTTAATTACAAATCACGATATGACTTTATAAATGGGTTACATATGGGCGTAGTACAATATCTAAATTGTTCCAAGTAACGATTTTATAGATTAGATTTCTTAATTACCTAATAGATTTGTATTAGATGCAGGTGAGAATGGTTTATTAAAAAATTAAGGTCAGATTTTAAACACATGAAACTAGTACGGGCATAAATTCGTATTAGAAACTACTTGGTAATTATTATAGCAGAAGGACAAAGGATAGGATCAGACAAGAAAATCCGTATACATGCAGATTAATATATTGTCAATGTTTCATTACAAACCTGTTTCAAAAAACCGTATTGGCCGAAAAATTATTACCAATTTGATTATTAAATTACGGGTTGTGCAATTAAGTTTTATGTCCGAGAGACCTTGTAGAAAATTGTTCAAATCATATTGCAACACATTCAAGATACCAGTCTTCGGATAGAAAGTAAAATAACGAGTTCTTATTTGCTCTAATGTCTAAAACTAATCTGGAACAATTATTTCCGTAATGATATACGCTTTATGTTTTTGTCTTCAATTTGCGCAGTGCAACATTCAGTCCAGCATAATTTTTATGGGCAGTTTAATTTACAAATATGGGATCTATAACCTCCCTTTCAGGGTTTATACAGTTCACATAAATTCCCAACTGTTTCTATGGAAAATGATCTATCTTAAAAGTGAATACATAGTAAACGTATTTTTGCAAGGAAAAATCACTTTCACATTTTTGAACAATTCGTTAGAAATTGTCTATGACTATTAAAAAAGTTTTTCATGCAAAAATATATTAATTGATATATCGTGGCTGTATGTCTCATTAATTTATTCAAAGTGATCGGTCATAGCAAGGAAAAATTGGAAGTTATTTCTTCGAAGATTTCTGAGGTACTCTTCTTTCATTCTCTTATACTCGCGGAGAAATATAAAAAAATATATTGAGTAACAGATCCCGTAGATGAAAACTGTTTTTATTAACATAGGATGGACGTAATAAATATATTTTTAATTATAATCGCATTAATATAAGACCAGTAGAAATTAATTATAGTAATTTCTAAAATATTAATATTTTATTATGATAATTATTATCTTTTTATAGACAATATTGTGAAGTATATAATAAAAATATTATATATGTATATCTAATATTAATGGCTACGGAAATATCTTCATGAAAAAGTAATTAAATGCACATTGAACATGTTTCAGTGTACATATACACTAATGCAAAAAATTAAAGGGTCATAAGAATTTTCGAAATTTTTCCGCGATTTTTGACAGACTGTATTTAGGTGAAAATCGGGAATTAAAAAAGCATTTTGTATCTCTAAGATTCTAGTTTTTAGATCTCCCGGTCCAAATTTTTAGGAGCTGCAGTTATCATGCAATTCTATGAAATAACGAGATAAAAAAAAATTTCAATTTTTTTTTCTATTTTCTGAGACCATGGAAAATTTTTTTCTGCTAAGCCATTGCATGCACCAGATAGATTGTTTATTCAGCTGCAATTTCCTTTTTCTTAAATTTCGATACGACCATTTTTCATCGAAATATCGAACTTTTAATGGAAAAGAATCCTTTTGTCTTCAATCATCGATATCTCGGCGACAAATGGTCGTACAGAGAATTGAAAAACATTTTGGAAAATTGGAATAAATTTCCAAAAACATGCTACCGCAACTTTTCGGGACAAAATTTTTTTTCATCTTTTACACGAATTTTAAAAAACAGGAAAAAGGGTCATTATGGTTTTTTAGAAAATTGACGGCTAAATTAGAAATATTCACGAAATGATTAATGTTAAGCATGGCTTTACAGTTCGATATACCCAGAAGAACCCTGTGAAGTTTCATCTCGATCTAGCGAACCGTTTCTTTGTTTCAAGCCGTCAAACTTTTGATAAAAATTAAAGCGTCACTTTTTTTGAGCTTAAACACTTCATAATTATAATTAAAATGGGATGTTTTTTGAGGTTTTGTCACATATTTACCGCAAATAACGTTTAAATTGAAGAAAAAAAAGCCGTCCTATGCTTCTGTTCATTAACTTTTATTTAAATTAAAATTAAAGTTGATGACCCAAACCAGATTTTGATCAGTAAAAGGTTTGTCATTTTTTACTTAGATTATAACAAATTTTGTTATTTTTCAGTAGTAACTGAATTATTTCCATATCTGTTTGTTTATTATTCCGTCAACTAAGCGTTTTGATTTATACTTTAGTGATGGGTAAGAAAAATTTAAAATTTAACTACGAGCTTTTCGAATAAATTATTAGACAAAATTTGTTGCTTCTGATGAGCCAAATATGTGGTAAAAACGTTGGCACTTATTTCTGGGATAACACCCAATATAATTTGGTCTATTCTAGAGTTTATATTAACACTTTTGGGGTCGGTATAGGTACTTACATTAAAAGGAAGAAAATAGCTTTAGTAAATATTTAAATTTTTTATTTCTGATGGATAATCATGGATTACATAAACTCAGTAGTGGAACTCACTTATCCCTAAAAAAAAAATTAATTAATATGTTTAATTCTTTACAAATTAACAAAAAAAAGGTCATTTAACGATAAAATTCGTTTTTAGGATGAAATTTACTTCAATTAGTATTACTATTCCTGAATTAAATTTTTTCAACAAACCAGGGTATTTCTGAAATAAGCGCACTACATAAAATGAGCAACTTTTATTAAGCAAGTGATGGTCTAAATGGTTCTGTTTTCGTGAAAATTAACTATGAAAATTAACCAGGAATATAAGCAGATCCTGTGCATCTTGTGCACGTGCACTACTAGAATGCTTCGGACTCGCTACATGCGTGTTCTTTAGTTGTATGTTGCAATATTACTTAGCCGGGGTATAAAATGCACATGGAAGCAACTTTGAACGATTTTTGTAAAGCTTAACGTCTATTGGCAAGTAATTTGTTTATTCGTTTAATTTTTGTCTTACTTTAGAAGGGAGATTTGAATTCGGCATTTTCGAACACAGAATTTAAACCGTCAAAACCGCCATCAGTACTTTCGCACTGCGGCTCGCAGCAATTTCGATATCAAAGGTACAGTTGACTGCCGCACCATTTTTCTTTTTTATTTTCATTTCGAAACGTAATGTTTTAGACCATCAGTTACTTAATAAAAGTTGCTCGTTTTTCTGCTCTCTTTTACCCTTTTAAAAGAAAGCAATTATTTCGTGTTTCACAATTTCATATAACACCATAACGACGCAAGCTAGCAAATAAAGGCAGGAATACATTTTTGCAAAAATTTTGGTGCTCCAATGATTATAACAGTTTAAAAAAATATCATATATGTGCTTCTATTGATAGCTGCAACGTTTTCAGTTAACCTTTTTTCTTGTAAAATTAAAAATAGGAATGTAAAATTGAAGTGACATTATAACCAACAATCTAGTACCTATATGTCTGAGCCTGGGCGTAGTAGCTGCCCAAAGTGGCAACCGCCACAGCTACAAACAAAAGTAGTCTTAGGTAATTCATGTTCAGGAACCAATTTGCAGTTGGAAAATACAATCTGTAATGAAAACTTATATTCAATATTAGCAAAAAATGTTGAAAATACGCTTTCATATGTAAAATGATACTGGTATTTACAAAAATGACCGGTTTTCAAAAGTCTTATAAAAACAGTGGCAAATATTATTAACTGAATAAAAAACTTAACTGTTTACTAATGCTCACGATAGAACTCGTTTGTTAGAGCTTCGTTTCTCCGATATTTATACAATATGTGAATGTAATTAATGTAATTATAGTTTTTAAAATTAGGTTGTTATCTTTTATATGTCAATTATTAAAGAAAAGGTACAGTTATCTTATCAGTAATGTGGTGATTAATGGAGAGTTTTACTAGTTAGGTATAGTTAAAGATAAAGTAAACCTACCACTAATACCTACTCTATATGCGAGTTAAAACACTTTTAGTGGCTATTATTTCAATTGCCGTTGTATTGTCAAATACTTTCAAGATTCGATGAAAAAATTTTTATAAAATTCACTGTTGAACCTATGAGAGGTAAGACATTGCACTTATTTTCAGCATTTTTATTGCTTAACCAATAGGGTTGATGACCCAAACCAGATTTCTACCCCGATTCATACCGTTTTTTTTAGACAAATTTCTAATTAATTTTTGTGCAGTCTGTAATCACTTTAAAAACAGTTTTTTTTCAAAACTACCCATTTTCTGCTCTGAAAAAAAAAATAAAAAAAGTATTTTTTCCGTCAATTTAAAGGTTATTTGCGGCAAAAATGTGAGAAAACCTCAAAAAAAATTTTTCGTGACCTTTTAATTTTTTCCAAATGATTGTTCGAAACAAAGAAACGGTTTTCTATTGAACTGTAAAAGTCATGCTTAACATTAGTCATTTCGTGAATATTTCTAATTTAGCCGTCAATTTTCTTAAAAACCATAAATTACCCTCAAGCTGTTCTCGAAGTAGTAATTTGTAGAAAATTGCAAGACGAATCCGAAAATATCATGGTTGTTACCGTAAAGCAGTGGCGTATTATTTTATTTAGAAAAATATGCCACCGATACCCTGTATCTCCGCCACTGGAGCATGTAAATTTTGGGAAAGGTTTACATGAATACATGTGCCCGATTTTAAATAATTTCACTTATTAGTTTTTAAATTATTTAAAAAAATTTAAAATATTTTTTAAGTTTAACACTCTCTATCTTTTTAACGAAGCGTCCTAGATAAAAACTTTATAGGAAAGACTCACCATTTGTGAATCACCCCGTATAGACGGATAATGTAAATTTACATTTTGGGTAAATTACACAAAAAGTGTAAAAATACAAGCCTAATGTAACTTTACTTGTATGATGTAATTTTACAACACCTACTGTAGCGTCAATATAACCAACGATCTAGTGTGTAATTTGACATAAACTTTTTATGAGTGTACATTGAATTTTTAAAAATGTAACAGCCTGTCAACTCTTCCCATAAATTTAAAGACTATAACCGTGACATGACTAGTTTCACATACTTTTTCATAAAAAGTAGATGCCTACTGTGAAAGCACCCGTACAGTTGAGTAGCCTTACATCAAGTACCACATAACTCATGTGGCACTCGGGAATTTAGTCACCCAAAATAAACTTCAACAAACCACACCTTGGCTCTCCTATGTTAATAATTTTAAGCAATTGGGAGCGCTAAATAGTGCTTGTCACTTGGATTATAAACGAGGATTGTAAGAGATTTTAATTGGGAAAAACTTGGGATTTATTTACATAAATAATAACAGATGCTGAGTTGCAGAAGGTGCCGCTGCGGCACTACAAAAGAAAATCCATAAGCTGCTTGTAAATTCAACTGTTATAATATTACAGTACATTATTTATTATTATATACTTATTGCAAGATTCATTTGCGATAAACAATTTAATTGTTACCGAAACTACTAACCGTAGAATATGAATTGTGCGCAATTTTCATTCTGAAGCGTTGGTAGTATTGTTGTCACATGTTGTGCATGGTAAACAAGTTGCGGTTATACAAAATGGAGCGTTATACGACGAATGAGCAAGTCAAGACTGAAAATTCATTACAAGTGCGGAGAGTGTGTAGCTGAGACTCTGAATTTTACAAAAATTCATCAGTATTCCATTAAAATGTATGTTTCAGCGATTTTTCAAAAAAATGGTACTCCCGGTGATTTGGGGTGGCTGCTTTTGGTTGACACACCCTGCGTGTATGTATCAACTCAGCATAAACGTTAAGCGTGAACAAGTGAATAATATTTCCTGCGCGCGAAAAATGCCGCGATTTATTTTACGATCATTTGATGTATCGGCGATCGCATAGTAACTAACCACATTTAAGAACAAGAAGCAAGGACGAATGAATGTAATTCTGGTTTCTTAAATAAGGAATTCAATGTTCCAAGTCTGGTTAATAAATTGTTGGAACTACGGCACGCAATATCTAAAATCGCAGTCTGCACTTGCAAAACGGTTAAGCAACGGCTTGTCGTTATTAACAAAAAATATAGACAAATGCTGCCCGTTCTAGGTATTTACGGATAAATGAATGCCTTTCATTTACGTCTCACGTTAGTTCAGGCGTTACCAGATAGGTATTGAACAAACGACTTATTCGTTATAGACACGGCTTGTGTTTGTAATTTTACTTATCCGATACATATTCCAAATTCCTAAGCTATATTAGATAATCGATCTCATAATAGAATAATGAGTCCAAGAAAGATACATGTTTTCAACTAATGATATTGTTGGGACATTGGGAACACCTACTCTGCTGACTACAGCCCCGTTCAGCATGGAATTACTCTCCCAATGTTTATTAAACAGCTAACAGTAGAACCACCAGTCCCAGTAAGCAATGATGAGCAGTGGCAATTGACATATAACATACTTTGTAGTGCCATCTAAATATAAAATATATTATAGATTAATTTTTTTAATTTATTTGGTGACTTTTAATATTTGTTCAAACTGAACTTTTAGTTTTATTTGAAACATTTAAAAATTAGTTACTTATGTTTGTTTGTTTATAGCCTGTGATCGAACGTCTACTCTGGTACTCCGCATTAACCAGGATCGAAACAAAATTTTGTAGAGGTTTAAATGTTTAATAAATTATTAGTTATTATCCTTTCACAGTACAGTCAATATTAATTTAGACAATTTTATACTTTTACATTAATAAGTTACTTGTTTAAGAATAATTTTTGTAATAATTAAAAAAGTATAAATTAGTTTTAAAGTACCAGATGTATAATTAATTACTAGTTTGCACCGTTCGACTAGATAGAATTATAGGAACATGAAAGATAATAATTATGTTCACGTAAGAGGCAGGATATGCTTAAAATTTTCATGAATTTAATTTTTGGAATAGCGCAAAATTGCGTATAAATTAGAAATTGCCGATATTTCTACAATTCTCGTTATTCTCACGTGCTAAGAAACTTATTCGATAATTACAGTGAAAGCTTCAACAGTCTTTTGTTTAAATAAATTCCATACATTTCGCACATAAGGAGGCAATTTGTTCATAAATTAATCCAGACCATTAACTTTCGTTGCAACATGTGTTATTCATATATCAGGAATGTTCTAAAATTTATTAACATAATGTGTGTCAGTATATAACGAACATTCTTAAAACTATGACAGTATCTGATTTACATTGATCTGTATTAATTATTGCGATTCAAATCTATTGTCTTTTATCACCACTATGGTGTTTTAGCACTGGTATTCAACACTTGGCCCAAGTGAAAAGTTTTTAAAATTCTTATCTATTAAAAAATAATTCTAAAAGCAAAATAGTACCCAACTTCTATATAATACATAAACACAAGAAGGTAATTGTGAAAGTATATAACCTTTATCTGAACCTACGATATTTTAACTTCGACAACATATCGACAATGAGGAACTAATAACAATAAATGGAGATCTTTCTCCAGCTACGTACCTGAATAAAATAACACATTAATTCATGTCATCATCCGTTATCGATCTTTATATCTACAAATTGATGTCTATTGTTTGTTCGTCTCATGTTGACACCAGTCAATTGGCTTGTAACACGTGCCTAATATGAATAAATACGTTTGTAGTTAACAATTACATTTTATTAAATTTAATTTATTCGGTCGATCGGCAATTTTCACTTCGGGGTGTAAATATTGGAAGCTGGGTAAAATATATCTATTCACTATTAGACTTATTAGACTAATATCTAATTAAATAATTGGATTGAATTTTAATTTTAAATAATAATTTGTTAAAAGTAACGCATTCCATTACAAGTACTGAGAGTGTGTAGCTGCGACTGTGCAATTCATAATTTGTCAGTATCAGTTACATTTATAGTTTATAACAGCCAGTACAATCATAACGGTTGATGTTCAGTGACCTACCGCTTATTCTCTCTTCAAAAGTATTGTCGTTAACTATATATGAAGAATAATATTACTGACATTTTAATTTCACGGAGGAAATATATTTCGTGTGTACGGTCGATAAATCATCAAGAATTTTAATAGAAACACATGTCATTTATTTGAATACAAGTAGAGAGTAGAAGCGACCCCTCTCCAATATAAAGGAATAAAGAACAGAAACCGTCTGCAGGAAATTATACATTTAGTGACTAACTTACGCAACATAAATTAAATAACAATTAAGATAAATTACATATTAACATATAGCTGAATTGTTTTAATTGGTGTTTTGTATCAAAGAAAGCTTTCGAACTATTATTATTTATAAGTTGTTATATTATAGATGCCCACAGAGAGCATAGGTCTTCAGATCTTGTTGTGATTAATCGTTGTTTTAAAGATCAAGCAGAAGTTATATATTTTGAGATATTCACCATGATAATATACGAGTATCAACATAAAAAAACTTTTTTATTATTTCTTATTTTATATGTATAACAATAAATTAAATAAGTAATGTTCTGTTTATGGGATTTTTCGTATCGTAAATTATTTAGAATCAGGTACACAAATATCACGTGGTA